ATGGACTGGAATGGTGGAAGGGGAGTAAAGAATGTGCTCTCATCTCCAGAGGAGCGATGAAGAGATAAGCGGAGGAGACTGGCACTTCCCTAAGAAATTCCATTGGTGGGAACTGGTTTGATTCTGGGAAGATTGATGTCGGTCCTAGCCCAAGGAACTCCAGGAGACCATGCAGAATCAATCCAGCAAGGTTTATTCCCTTAACAAGAATCTTCCCAGAATGAAACCAGTTCCCACCAATGGAATTTCTTAGGGAAGTGCCAGTCTCCTCCGCTTATCTCTTCATCGCTCCTCTGGAGATGAGAGCAGATTCTTTACTCCCCTCCCACCATTCCAGTCCATCACACAAGCTCACTTGTGGGATTTTCCTTCACATAAGAAGGAACTACAGATTGATTACATCTATTGATATTTGCTCCCCAAATTCTGAAGGCAAAGAAATGCATTTAGAATGAAACCATTTCTCCTGTACACAAATCTACTCAAAGGGATCCTACACCATCCGAGATTCCAATGTGGTATTTTCAGGACTAAGGTAAGAAAAGTGATACCATGTCTTCCACCTTGTTCCATCTTCTGTCTGTAGCTTCACCTTTTCCTGAAAAAAAACCCAGTCTACAATAACACCATGGAAGGAATGTATGTGGATGAGAACGGAGATTTGATGGCCGACTTTGACATTGTGAGCTGGGTGTTATTTCCTAATAAGTCAGCCATCAGAGTGAAGTTCGGGACTTTTGCAAGGGCAGGATTTACAGGAGTCAAATTCAGCATCAGTAAGGAAGCCATTGTGTGGCCCCAATGGATCAACCAGGTGGGGAAAAAGATCTCCCATTTCTTTATGTTTTAACATCTCTCTGGGTGTCTTCTCCCTTCTCAAACTATGTATTAGACTGACTGCCTTCAAATACAGGCTTTGGACTTGTGTTCCTTTAATTCAGCACTGGCAAAATGGACAAGATGTCTTGCAGAGTTTAGAAGGTTTCCGTCCCAGGAACACAGGGGAAAATAACATGGGGGTGGAGGGAAACGGAGACAGGCTTTAAGAGGAAGGGAGAAGTAAAGACATTTACTCACTGCCTTCTAATACAGGTTTTGAACTTTGATTGATTAATGATTGATGATTCTGTGCCATCAAGTCAGTGTCAACTCTTACTGACCACATACTGTAGATAATTTTCTCCATATCCCTAACATGGTCCTTCAAGTCTTCCAACGGTGTACTCCCTACCACTGTAACTGCATCTACCTTGTTGCTGGTCGTCCTCTTCTTCTCTTTCCTTCCACCTTTCCCAGCATTCAAGTCTTCTCTAGAGAGCTGGGTCTTCACATAATGTGTGCAAAGTAAGATAATTTGAGTCTAGTCATCTATGCCTCGAGCAAGAACTCTGGGTTAATTTGTTTGATGATCCATTTTTCTTAAATTTTCTTGGCTGCCCATAGTATTCTCAGGAGTCTCCTTCAAGACCAACATTCAGAGATATCAATACCCTTCCTATCCTGCTTCTTTAAAGTCCAACTTTCACTTGCAGAGTGTCACAGGCATTGCCTGCACTATTCTGATCCTCTGAATCTCTTTTCCAAGGCCTTCATGGCTGCTATACCAAGTGCTAGTCTACAGGTATTTCTTGACTGCTGATTCCTTTACTGTTGATGGTTGATCCTAAAAGGCGGAAGCTACGCAGCACTTCGATATCTTCATTTACTTCATTTACATTGTCAGTTCTAAGGCTGGTTGCTCTATCTGTTGTCATTAGTTTGGTCGCCTTTCTATTTAATTCTAGTATTGTTTTTTCACATGCTCCTTGACATTTATTACTAGCGGTGCAGAGTAATGTCATCTCCCATAGTGCAGGTTATTGATATTTCTTCCCCCAATTTTAAAATCACACTCCTCTTCTTCCAATCCAGCTTCTCACAATGTATAGGTTGAAAAAACAAGGGGAGAGGATGCAGCCTTTTCTCACTCCTATGCCAACCTGGAACCAGTCTGTTTCTCCAAGTTCTCTCTGTACTGTGGCTTCCTGACCTGTACAGAAGTTTCTCATGAGGACAATGAGATGTTCTGGGATTCCCATTTTTCTGAGCGTATTCCACAGCTTGATGTGACTGACACAACTGAAGGCCTTTCTACAATCGATGAAGCACATGCTGACTTCTTTTTGGTATTCTTCGGCTTTCTCAATTCTCCAGCATGCATCAGCAATAATGAAGTTAGAGTAGTATTTCTTCAATTCTGCACCAACCATTGGCAAGGTGTTTTCTAGAATCTAAAAAGAAAGTTTTCTCTCCCAAAGACACAGGGAGAAACAACATGGGAGTAGAGGGAAATGGAAGCAGGATTTAAGAGGAGGGGAGAAGTAAAGCCATGTGTTTATAAATGTTCATTGGACGTGTACAGTTTCAACAAGTTGAAGCTGTGGCCAGACATTTGGTAGAACAAATGCTGGAGAATTCCAGAATTTCCATTTCTCCTCAGGATCATAATGATGTGGCTGTTCCAGAGTTGGTCTGACAATTTTCCAAAAGTCAATCCTCCAAATGGGAAGCAGGTGGTGCTGTTCCAAACATAGGCCACCCCCCAAATAGGGCTTCTTTGTCAGAATACCATCTCTGGACTATCACAAACGTTTTTCAGGTTCAAGAGTTACTTTCGAGAAAACTATTGGACTGACCATGGAACGGCCAGCATAACGTGATCCAGAGGAGGAATGAACATTCCAGAGTTTTCCAGAACATTCCATTTCTGGAAGGGTCGATTTTGCACATGCCTCTTTTGTTGACCCCCTTCCAACTCTGTGTCTCATTTGGTAGCCGATCAGTTGTGCAGATGGTTCTCAATGCCCATTCTCTTCCCTTTCAGCCCTTGCCTCGCTCCCAGTGTGTGGAGGCTTGTCAGCCCGGATACTTCAAGGTGGTCCAGGAGAGAAAACCATGTTGCTGCTATGACTGCATCCCCTGTGCAGAAGGGAGCATTTCCACTCAAGAAGGTGGGTGAGAAGAGTCAACTTCCTCCTTGGGAAGGCGAGGAAGTGAGACAGCATTCACCATTCTATCTTTCACCAAACAGATGATAGCAAACTGAAGGTGCTGAAACTCCAGACGTTCTTAGAGGAAATTCTCTCTGAATTTAATCATAATTTGAGATAGAGATCGCCTTGGACACACTCATGGATAATCTATACTGTGTGAGAGACAGGGGAAATATAATGTGACCCTTGTGATAATCTTGGATCTCTTGATAGCTTTTGATCATATGAATCAGGTTATCTTGTTGGAGCCCTTGAGGTTCTGGGGGTGAAAATATTGCTTTTGTCTTGTTTTGTCCTGGTGAAGGGATCTGAAGGGGCTTCTTGCACTCAGTTGCTTCACCAGGGCAAAAGCAGCATGTTGCTTCTGAAGCATGAAGTTCTTCATTGAGCTGAATGAAACCTCTCACGTAGGATCTAGTCTATTGTCTCAGGATCCTCCCAGTTTCAAATCTGGACATGGGATGGCCACTATCTCCAAGGTATCCAAGCAGTAAGCAAGTAGGATTGTCCTTTAACTTCAAGGCCAGCCACGTGGTTTCACCTATAAATTCTGTATTTTCTGGGGCAAGGTCCAGTCTGTGGAATAAACTGCTACTGCAAAAGAACCTCTCTTTACTTTGATTATTACAGAGGAAGTCAAAATGAATGTCTTTTGTCCTTTTCTTTTCTCTTTCCTTTTTAAATCAATAACCATTGGGATTTGGTGGGATAGACAATATACTGACTAAATGAATCCATAAATAGTTGAGCAGTATTGTTACTGCATTGCTATTCTCAAACTAGTGAGCCATGAGTCAAATTAAACTGAGTTTTGGGGAAACAGAAAAGCACAACCTTGTCAGATTGACGAGTCCTAGTCCACAGGAGACCTTCCCAAATGACATAGAGTAGATGATTGTCCTTCTCACCTTTTGCTCCCAACAGTCCTCCAGAGATAGAAAAAGGCAGGAGAGAAACCAAGACCTTTTGGCAAACAAAGCATGTCTCCCCTCAAACTCTGCCCTTCTTCACCCAGCTACGTTTTCTCCCTTTATCAACTTCGGCTACTTACTCGTGCAGACGAGCACACACACACACACGTACACTCATAACTCTTTTTCTCCTCCCCCACCACCATCCCCACAGACACACAGAGTGTTAGCTTTGGGTTTTCTGAGTTCAAAATATAACTCCCATCCTATAAACTATAACTCCCAGTCTATACATTTATGGAAGATGCTACATTTGTCTTTGCAGATGCAGACCACTGCACCAGATGTCCACCAGATCAGCATCAGAACAAGAACCGAGATCAATGTATCCCCAAAATCATCACCTTCTTGTCTTATCAAGAGAATTTGGGGATCGTCTTTACTTCTTTTGCCCTATTCCTAATCTTAACCTCAGGCTTTGTCTTGGGAATCTTCAGTAAATACCGAGAAACTCCCATTGCCAAGGCTAACAACCGGGACCTCTCCTATGTCCTCCTGGTCTCCCTGCTGCTTTCTTTCTTCACCTCCTTCCTCTTCATTGGCCGGCCAAGGAGAGCCACCTGTCTTCTTCGACAAACCGTCTTCAGCATCATCTTCTCAGTCGCTGTCTCTTCTGTCTTGGCCAAAACGATCACTGTGGTGCTTGCCTTTCTAGCAACAAAGCCAGGGAACCGAGTGAGGAGATGGCTGGGGAAAGGTTTGGCCAATTCCATCATTCTTTCCTGTTCCAGCATCCAGGTCATCCTTTGTTCCATCTGGTTAGGAGCCTTTCCCCCATTCCCTGATTCTGACATGCATTCACAGCCTGGAGAGATCTTGGCAGTATAATTCTCACCCAGTGTTTTAGATCATTAATTATTTTAGGGGAATAGACTATTTCTCGAGTTCTTCTCTAAGGGATCTCATTGTGCTAAAGCCTAATTTCCATCTCTTTATGAATCAATGTCTTGTAAAAAACAATGCTGCAATATATAAGCTGTGTTTTAGTATGACCTCTATCCTATCATTATGCATGGTACTTTTTACTAAACAGGCCCAGCAAACTGAACCTAGTTTCCTCTTGTGTTGTAATGGTATGTGGGAATGACCTTGGGAGACAGGAAAAGATGCTGCCTAGGGAACAATCAGATAAAAGTGTGGAGAAGCCCAAAGCTCCATAATGGACACAGAAAGGTACTTTCAGGCTTGCAAGATTCTGTTAATGTAGCCTCATAATAAAGTAGAATTAGCTCATCTGTCGTGCTTCCTGTCTGGTCTACCTGGGAAGGCTAACAGGTGTGTCACTTTAAGCCACAGCTCCTGGCATTGGAGACTCTTCAGCTGACTGCCTCTTTCAATACTGTCCATTCCACAAACCTATGGTGCTCACAGCAACATGTAGCATCTTGATGCTCACAGAAGGACTGCATTGAAAGCATTGGGAGAGCCTCAAAGAATGACGTCTTTCCCCACGGCCTTACACTATTCACACAACATGTTGCAATACAGCTGGGAATTCTATTCCTCAGTGGATTACAAAAATGTAGACTAGCACAAAGGTATCTTGAAAAAACACTCTCACTACTACAGTTCTCCTCACTAATCCATTTTGTAGTCAGGGGCATCCACAAGGAGATTCAAATAATCAAGATGGTGGTCACAACCACATGATCCAATCCCTGCCCCTTTCATATATTGTTCAATGTCAGTATGACAATATATGAAAAGAAAGGGGTTTGATCACACAGTTATAATTACCATCTTGACTTTGACATTCCCCCATGGACACCCTTAATTGTAGTATAGAGAGGAATGTGCATTTTCAATTACTTGGTCTTGTGGTGCCTTGCAGAAACTGTGGGAGAAACAAGCCAAAATCTTGGCTTGTTTCCCCCATCCATGGGAGGAGATGGGGGACTTTCACCCAAAAACACAAACAAACTAGGCCAAAGTTATCAGCCTCCCTCCTTGACACACTGAAAGAGTTACATCAGCTGTTCTCCAACTGGGTCCCAGCCTATGGCCTCCCATAGAATGAAGGATTTTGTAGAGCTCATCCTGCTCCTTGTAATTATTAGAATGACAGTGATTTACTTTTCTGCATGCAAAATCTCAGGGGAATTTTTCCCTCCAGAAATTACCCTTGAGATATAAGCAACAGGAGCAAGAGCAACATCTTGAAATATCTGCCATGAGAAAAGTTGGGGACATAAATGTGTCTTATGCCTCTGAAAAGTTAGCTTGAGCTTCACAGCCAGCAGGAGTTCTTGTCTCCCTCAAGTCTCCCTCACTTGGGAGGTTCTTGCTAATGTGTGTTTGAAAAGCTGCTGAAATTGAAAAGCCACAAAGTCAGACCACAAATGGTCCTACTTCTTCTGCTTCTGATGTTGCTGATCCTGTTGCCCCAGGCAGTCTATGGGATGCCCAGTGCCAAATGCCTCTTGATTTTGTAGAGGGATGAAGTAGACCTGCTCAATCATTACAACCCAGGAGACCATCTCATCACTGGAGTCTTGTCTGCAATAAACACTCCTAATATTAAGCCATAAAATTTCAGGTTGATTCCTACTACAAATGTTTATGAGTAAGTTATAGAGTGTACAATGATGTTACTGTTACTCTACACTGATTTAAAGACCTACCACGATTCCCCTAATGTCTACCTCTAGGTGTCTTTGTTATGATACTTTTAGTAAATTATTATGTTGCTTTTCAGGAAAAATTGGGCACTTTTTACATTTTATAGGTCTGGATGCAAAGAACCATTCTTGAAATCACTTCAGGTTAATTGTATAATATAGCAGAACAAACTCAGTAGATAAAATACAAGCAAGCTTTAATTCTCAGCACCCTTGTACCAAACTGATCCCTACCTGTACAATCTGTTTTGATTGTTCAAGGTGATCAGCCTGGCAGGTCATGGTCATGGTTTCAACCAGTCCATCAAAGAGAAGGACAAGAAAGAGCTGGACAGACCAGATGAGAGAAAATGCTGGCTTCCTTCCTTTCCTACAAGACAGTTCTGTATCTTTCAGAAGGACAGTATCTGCAAACCTTAGGACATCAACAGCCACCTGTGTTTCCTCCAGAGGTTCTGCCCAGATGTTCAGTCATGGCTTTCCTCAATAGTCCACCAATTCCCCCAAATTCCTCACTGCCAGATCAACAGCTACCTGTTGCTTTTCAGATGTAGGCAAGGGCACTAGGTTAGGGTGAGAATGGAGCCCAGCAAAAGTGGGGTGCAAATGTATGCTGGGAGTATTGTTATTGGGGCATGGTGAGGTGTAGCACTGATGTTAGTGCAATGCTGTTTTTATTTTTTTATGCTGTATTGCTTTTGCTGTGAACCACCCAGGATTATTGTACATAAGATGGGTGGCCATCTAAGTCAAATAAATAAATAAAATTTAGTTCCACTGATACCAAGGGGTTAGAGTCCAGACATCCCTGCAGCTGTCCAGGTGAGGTTTCATCCATTCATCCATGCTTCCACCAAGCCATATATAGTAGTTCATCTCCTTCTCTATTATCTCCTGATCAACAGCTCCCTAGCTTCTTCTCAAGAGCCTCTGCTGCACCATTCTTCTTCCAGATCTCAGCCTCTTTTCCTTCTCATCCCAACACTAGCGAGGAATCTGCCTGGGGTCTTCAATGAAGCCAAGCTGATCACCTTCAGCATGCTTATCTTCTGCAGCGTTTGGAATTCCTTTGTGCCCACTTACCTGAGCACCAAGAGGAAGTATATGGTGGTCATGCAGGTCTTCTCCATCTTGGTTTCCAGTGCTGGCCTGCTGAGATGTATCTTCATCCCCAAATGCTACTTTATTTTACTACGTCCAGATCTGAATACAAAGGAGAAGCTAATATTGAAAAATGAAATAGGAAACTGATTCTAATGCAATTTTCTTGGCAGTATAATTCCCACCCAGTGTTTTAGATCATTAATTATTTTTCAGGGAAAATACTATTTCTCAGGCTGCTTTTCTAAGTGATTACATAGAGAGGATTTCCTTACCCAAAAGCTGAACAATTTCTATTTATTTATATCTCTGTGTGTGATAGGAGAAAGGTATCCAGCACTATTCAATTATTTATGACATTTATATTCTGCTCCACTCAGAAGGACTTTCAGCAGCTCACAACAATAGCCATACCCAATCACAATATAAGAACAAAATATAATTAAAACACACACACACACACACACAAGAATACTTGGCATCAGGCCCCAAAAGGTATCTGGGAAAGTTCTGTCTTCAACTTTTTCTGGAAGGCAGATAATGTTGGAGATAAAGAAACCTCCAACGGAAGGCCCATTTAGAAGACTGGCCCCATCACTGAAAAACAGCACTTCCAGGCTTCAGCCCCCCCTGACCTTCCAAAATTGGAAACAACCAACTGCTTCTCCCAGCACAACCAAAGTTATTGGATTTTTTCCTAGTGGCCCTGTAGATAACCTGGTGCCAAGCCATAAAAGCCTCTAAAGGTTAAAATCACTT